ACAGGCGGCATGCATTCAAGGCAAGTATTGATGTTCGACACGGATACATTAGCCTCATCATTATCCAACCCACTCAAACAGATTTTTGGGGGGTTTATGTTCTTTTTTTATTCGCTGCTTGTATATTAAGCACTTATTAATTGCCACGACTTTTTACAAAGACTAATTAGTTTTTCACGCAGAAATTAAAGACGTCTTGCACTTTTGTTACTCTTCCAACACAAATCTATCAGTTATATGGAACGTACTCGAATTTCAGGTGTCAAAGCGATAGATCCGTCTAGCTATTTATGTAAAGGCTATAATAACTGAATTTTTTAATTACATGTGGTTTGTATATAATTTGAATTTGCAATTCTGTGGCAGTTGCTGCAAGGAGCCCAAGGATTTTTTCTGTCCTTTACTTAATAAAAGATAAAAAAGGTCGTATGGCGAAATAACATATGATGATACATGCATGTGTCGGCAAAATATAAATACTTCCTATCTTACACGTTCACCATATTAAATCCATGACAACATATCAGTATATCAATAGTGTTATACTGACAGTCACTTCGTTTCCTATGCCAAACTTATATGCAAATTATGATCGTAATTGTATAACATCTAATCTTACATCGCGTCAAAATTGGTAAAAACTAGTCCTTGGTCATTGCCAACGCCGTCGCTACTATTAAACTGCTCAGTTTCGTCAGTGCTGCTGCTACCAAGAAGAAATGAATTAAAAATGTATCAATACAAACTTTCCAGGTTTGACTGCCAGTGCAGTTTTCCTCACAGTTCTTCCACAGTCGAAAGCTTGTGTTCAAATCCAACATTTTTAAATCTTTTCAACGTATTTTTAACGTAAGCCAAAGTCACCACGCACGACATATATGTTTCATAATTATATATCAAGACTGCATGGAAACGCCGAAAATGTAATTTACTCCTAGTCGGATAGAATTTCGCGGCGGCCTCATGTTTCATGCTGCTGTGTTTATAAATTTAAACTTATAACCTTTGCCCAATATACTCTGTGGCGGCTTTACTAAAATGCTAATTCTTATTCTCTACATTTACACTAAAAATACGAGTAGAAAAACTTAACAAGAACGCAAAAATGAATGAAAACAAGAATGATTACATATTTCAATATGCCAGCAGTCACTATTCACTAACTGCTCCGGCAATATGCCAGCACGAATCAATCACTTGCCCTTTTGAATCCTGCTTTCGCGTCTATGACTACAACATCTTTATTTGAATCCTGCTTTCGCGTCTATGACTACAACATCTTTAAAATGTTTTAATGTGTTTAAAGCCAAAGTCAGTACGCGCGAACGAAAGTGCAAACGAAAATCTTTAATACTAGTCGGATAGAATTGCGTGGCTTTTGACATATATTACAGTAAAATGTAGTAAACGGCCAAGCAGCAGAAGGTTTTATACTAATATTAACCTTCGCCCAAACCTCAACTATACATGTCTATGATGTATGTAGCAATAATAGTCACATTGTAATTTTAATTATGTAGATTTACACACTTTAAACGCAAAAAAATACTCAAAACAAGTATGATTGCATATTTCCACATGCTGAAGCCACTATTCGCTAACTGCTGTAGCAATATTATGCCCGCACGCGAAATCACTTGCCCATTTGATCCATCTGACAAATATTTTTCCAACGGAAAACACGGTGTCCATTGGATCCATTGGATCCAATGGACAATTCGTTTGGCTATCTCAATGGCCTTGTATATCTACATGACGTCCATGTGCTTGTCATTACGTCATTGAAATACGTGGTAATTCACCAACTGAAAACGCAAATATCCGATGGAAATTCCACTTGTCCATTGGATCCAATGGACAAACAAAATTCCAATGGACATTTGCAAGTCCATTGGATCCAATGGACAATTCGTTTGGTATCTCAATGGCCTTGTATATCTACATGACGTCCATGTGCTTGTCATTACGTCATTGTAATACATGGTAATTCACCAACTGAAAACGCAAATGTCCGATGGAAATTCCACTTGTCCATTGGATCCAATGGACAAACAAAATTCCAATGGACATTTCCAAGTCCATTGGATCCATTGGATCCAATGGACAATTCGTTTGGCTATCTCAATGGCTTTGTATATCTACATGACGTCCATGTGCTTGTCATTACGTCATTGAAATACATGGCAATTCACCAACTGAAAACGCAAATGTCCGATGGAAATTCCACTTGTCCATTGGATGCAATGGACAAACAAAATTCCAATGGACATTTCCAAGTAGCAATAATAGTCACATTGTAATTTTAATTATGTAGATTTACACACTTTAACAAGAACGCAAAAAAATACTCAAAACAAGTATGATTGCATATTTCCACATGCTGAAGCCACTATTCGCTAACTGCTGTAGCAATATTATGCCCGCACGCGAAATCACTTGCCCATTTGATCCATCTGACAAATATATTTCCAACGGAAAACACGGTGTCCATTGGATCCATTGGATCCAATGGACAATTCGTTTGGCTATCTCAATGGCCTTGTATATCTACATGACGTCCATGTGCTTGTCATTACGTCATTGAAATACGTGGTAATTCACCAACTGAAAACGCAAATGTCCGATGGAAATTCCACTTGTCCATTGGATCCAATGGACAAACAAAATTCCAATGGACATTTGCAAGTCCATTGGATCCATTGGATCCAATGGACAATTCGTTTTTGGCTATCTCAATGGCCTTGTATATCTACATGACGTCATGTGCTTGTCATTACGTCATTGAAATACATGGTAATTCACCAACTGAAAACGCAAATGTCCGATGGAAATTCCACTTGTCCATTGGATCCAATGGACAAACAAAATTCCAATGGACATTTGCAAGTCCATTGGATCCATTGGATCCAATGGACAATTCGTTTGGCTATCTCAATGGCCTTGTATATCTACATGACGTCCATGTGCTTGTCATTACGTCATTGAAATACATGGTAATTCACCAACTGAAAACGCAAATGTCCGATGGAAATTCCACTTGTCCATTGGATCCAATGGACAAACAAAATTCCAATGGACATCTGCAAGTCCATTGGATCCATTGGATCCAATGGACAATTCGTTTGGCTATCTCAATGGCCTTGTATATCTACATGACGTCCATGTGCTTGTCATTACGTCATTGAAATACATGGCAATTCACCAACTGAAAACGCAAATGTGCGATGGAAATTCCACTTGTCCATTGGATCCAATGGACAAACAAAATTCCAATGGACATTTCCAAGTCCATTGGATCCATTGGATCCAATGGACAATTCGTTTGGCTATCTCAATGGCCTTGTATATCTACATGACGTCCATGTGCTTGTCATTACGTCATTGAAATACATGGCAATTCACCAACTGAAAACGCAAATGTCCGATGGAAATTCCACTTGTTCATTGGATCCAATGGACAAACAAAATTCCAATGGACATTTCCAAGTCCATTGGATCCATTGGATCCAATGGACAATTCGTTTGGCTATCTCAATGGCCTTGTATATCTACATGACGACCATGTGCTTGTCATTACGTCATTGTAATACATGGTAATTCACCAACTGAAAACGCAAATGTCCAATGGAAATTTCACTTGTCCATTGGATCCAATGGACAAACAAAATTCCAATGGACATTTCCAAGTCCATTGGATCCATTGGATCCAATGGACAATTCGTTTGGCTATCTCAATGGCCTTGTATATCTACATGACGTCCATGTGCTTGTCATGCATTACGTCATTGTAATACGTGGTAATTCACCAACTGAAAACGCAAATGTCCGATGGAAATTCCACTTGTCCATTGGATCCGATGGACAAACAAAATTCCAATGGACAAATAGAGATCCATTTGACAAGTGGAATGTCCAATGGCCTTTTCATTTTTCCATCGGACATCTTGCATGGGTATTGGACATTAATCGGCAGTTTCGCGCCATTTTCGTCTTTGCCCATTCTTGCCCGGTTGAATTTTAAACTGTAAATCGTACTAATTATAACAAATATACATCCAAAACTTTCACACCAGTTAGCTCTTCCAAAAAAAGGTGGTTCAACGGGATCGGAAACAGTAGGACGACGTAAAATGCAAAAAACATGGTTTTTCCCTATCTCGCTCTATGATTTTTGACCGGTTGAGCCGCCATCTTGGATTTTCAAATTTGGCGCGCCTCTTCAGCCGAGTCAGCAATCTAGGTTTCCTATATTTATGTGAACAACGAACACTTCATGCCCACTACCTGAGCATCGCTACTTTAATTTGGATGACACATCAAGGACCAGCAACACTATAGCTTTTTTCGACCATGATCCGTCTCCATGAAATATAACAATAAGGACCAGGACATTTTACAAAGAAACTTTCTGCAGGTATATTATACCGCAACTTCAAATTGTCCAATCAGGAAACTTAGTTTGTGGCACGTGAGCATGAAATTAATCGCGATATCACGCTTTATGTCATCAATTAGCGTTCCTTTTGACAATGTTCCACCCCATGTTCCCCGTGGAACATGTGGTTGAACATTATTCGCGTAGACCACGCGAGATAACACGCACGACATCAAGATGGCCAACAAAATATAAATAGTATTAGTGATTGATGAATCATTTAATTTTTAACGTAAAAGCTGGGGGCTTTTTCAAAATTTAGTATAAGCAAATTTTGAAAAATGTCGTCATTAATGTTTCAAACGATATGTGATTTGAAATAAAAGCGACTATTCTTGCGCTAATATAATCTGAAAATAAAACATCGTATTCACAAAGGTACGCTACATGTATGTCTCAATCTTTTAATTTTCGGTATATAATATATCATTTATAAATCTTTCCCGCGGGGGAATCGGCGAAATATTACACTTCGGGTAATATTTCGCCGAATCTCCTTCGTCTTTATATGATAAATATTAACTGTGGTATTGCGAAGGTTTTCATTATTTTCTTGTCCTTTCAGATTACGATGAATGTTGTGCGGGAACATACTGCCCAGAAATGTTGTCCACGTGTTCAAACACGCCTAGTAGCTTTGAGTGCATGTGCTTTGAAGGATATTTTATTAATGGAACCATCTGTCAAGGTATATAAACACTTAAAAACACAGCACAGTAGAGTTCTTAAAGTTCATTAACTATAGAGAGCATTCTGCAGAGACACCAACCTGATACTCAGGATTTTCACTTGCGCTACCCCAACCCCGATACCCGATGCTGCGAAAACCCTGACATGCACCGGCTGGTCACAAGGCACCCAGATTTTAGGTGCTATATTATGCGACTGAGGGAGGGTAGGTCATTATCACACGGCAAAACTATAAAACGTCAAGTATATGTGCTGAAAGACTCTGAACTATGATTTGCTTTATTAGTTTAGATTTAATAATATGGTAGTGGTACAGTAGTGTAAAATGTAAAGTTGGTAGTTTAATTTAGTTGCATCTTTCATAAGAGCGAAACAGCACAAGAAGGTAGCGCTCTTCACGATCGTGAATCGCATTTTACTGTAAAACGTTTTTGTCTATAAATATTAGCGGTTTACTGTACATATAAAACAGATTTCTCGTGTGGTTGCCAGACACCACACTCTGAACGACACTGTTTTAAACTAGCAACATGAAATTTCACACCGAATTTCACACCAAACAAATTACTCCGAACCAATAAGCCCAAAAAAGAACCGGTGGCTCGCAACTGTTTATTATAAAGATAGGCCGTATTCTGTGGCACGAAAAGTCGCTTAGAAAATGAATTCCGGTGCCATGGTTTGGGCACTACTTTGAAACAAGATAAATAATTAGGATAAATCATACAAAATCCAAATCCGCTTGTTGGCACTTCTCAAAACCTGCAGTTTTCGAGTATTTCTTCTTCGAAAATTCACGAAATCAATATCTTTCGCAAGCAACAAGAAAGCTAGTAATTTTGATTCAAATTGCTGATAAGGACGTAGTAGCTTTGGAAGTCAAATAGTACCAAAAACATTGTTATGAAAAGTACACAGCCATGTAAAGGCAACTTCTTTTCCATAGACCAAAGGTACGAAACAAGAGTGAAATTGTTTAATATGCAGAGTGCCTTAGTCAAGCAAGTGTAGCAGAAGGTTTTATGGATGATGACATAGAAACATCTCAGAGTTCACTTGCAAGAGTCTGAATCTGATGTTTTCATTGGAACAAAAGCATCCACATACACAAGTGTAACATTGAAAGAAATGTGTGCAGTTGGCCTAACATTGAGAAACAACTTGCATGATTGTGCATCAGCTTGGTACAAGAACTGGCATCAGATATTACTGGAATAATGTTGATGTGTTGATAGTTGCCTGTGCAATAGCTGAATTAAATGCCATTGTCAAAGATAGTGAGACACAATGTCCAAAACCACTCAAAATCTTATCAGGCCAGAAGAACCAGAAATCTGTCGATCGGTCATTGCTAGGGACTTAAGTGTCTGTACTTTCCTCCTATTAGAAATGTAGTCCAAATCATGACACAGAGAAAAAATCTTTGATGTAGTTTGCTCATCTAATTTAATATAGTCAGCCTCTTTTGGGTCATCTGAAAACCCAAGAATCCATGCCATAAAATTAAACAAGAGAGGGGATACAAACTTTCTGATGTTTTCACCAGTAATGTCTGATGCATCTGGTGGCCAGTTCCTGTAACAATTTGATGTACAATAAAGGAAGTTGTTTCTCACGGTTAGGTCAACTATATACATTTCTTTCAGTGTTGCACTTGTGTACTGCACATAGATGCCTTCGTTCCAATGTCATCATCAGATTCAGACTTATGTGAATTCTAAGACGTTTCTATGTCATCATGCATAACACTTTCTGCTACACTTGCTTGACTGAGGCAATCTGTATAAACAATTTCACTCTTGTTTCGTACCTTTGGTCCAAGGAAAAGAAGTTGTGGAAACATTTCATAACAATGTTTATGATATTTCGCTTCCAATGCTACAAGCCACCAGGTCCTTATCAGCAATTTAAATAAAAATACTTTCACCAGCTTTTTGGTTGCAGTTTCTTTCAGTTTACTACCATCTGCTGTTTCCGCAGATACCATTTTGTCCAGCTTTCCCTTATTCGACTTCTATATAAACCCATGCAAAGAAATCACACAGCTGTTATAAGAGGTGCAGCTCAAGGGAATTCAATCAATATATAATTATAAAACACATATTTGTGATGTTACTCCGAGTGTGTATCCACACCGGGTGAGCTTGAAAAATATGCCTGCCCACGGTGGGATCAAACCTATGACCTTTGGAATACTAGCCCAATGCTCTGCCAACTGAGCTACGCGGTCAGGTCGGTTCGACTATGTGACATTTCGGAACTATGGAATATTTCGGATATTTTCAGCATATATTTTCAATATATGGAATATTTCTGTTATTTTCAACTGAGTCTAGTTCTCAATGCAATCTAGATCTCAGCATTTATACAGTATCTTTACAGGTGCCAGGTGGAGTTTCATCTGATTCCGTTTCTTCATCATTATTAATATCGATACCAGAGGATGAAGGTACACCTTCTCTGTCCATATTCTAACAATGCACTTGAGCTCGTTTGATCATACTGCTATTGTGAATGCCGAGTGACATCCTCGATGATAAGAGAAATTTCAAATTCAGACATGCTGTCGCTAACAAATTGCAAACTTCTTTGAGCAACATTGCGTTCGTCCCTGTCTAGCATTAGCCAAATTCTACGACAATCTAAACATTTTTTATACAAAACCGCACTAAAAGTTGTAAGTGGGCCTTTTTTCCCCTCAAAATGAATGTAAACATGAATCGGAAGACGCCATGTTTACAAATGCTAAACTGGAAACTTCATGTAAGAACGAGTGTGAGCCCGCGAAAATTGCCATTTATAGTGTTTATTACACCAAGTATCCTGAACAAAAATGGCGGCGATTGATTGCGAAAGATGTTGATTTCTTGAATATTCGAAGAAGAAATACTCGAAAACTGCAGGTTTTGAGAAGTGCCAACAAGCGGATTTGGATTTCGTATGATTTATCCTAATTATTTATCTTGTTTCAAAGTAGTGCCCGAACCATGGCAACGGAATTGAATGATATCGTGCCACAGAATACGGCCTAAGAGTGTATCACTGATGTTTCGTGAAGCGTGCACACTCAATTACGGGCTCAATTAAATCTCGGCTGTAAACTGAATTGAAACTGTGAAATGAAAATTCATTGACAACAAACGCGAAACCGCTAGTAATAGCACATATGAAAGTCCAAATTAAAACGTTCAATACACCTATACATTCTGAAATACTGCATTCAGACATTTCACTTTCAGTCTTGACAGCCTTTTCTACCCCTTTATAACTATAACTACAGTATAAAGCATAAAAATAAATCATCAGGTTACAAAAATTAGCAGGCCGGATACTGCTAACCTCCGTATTTTTCGACCAGTTACTACTTCAAAACACTTCGAATCGACATAAATTGAATTCAATTTAGTATATAAACATTCCATGGTTCTATGGATTTATTTTTACACTGTTAAATTATCGTTTCGCAAATTTATCGTGGATTGTTTTCTATGATATAATCAATGTAGCTATATTCACTAACGGTATGTATTGTGGAATTTTATCTTTTTGTATTCACTGGATTGATCTATTTGAAATTCTCACTATGTGTTCCTGGTCTTCTGTTAAAAGTTATACTATATTTCATTGAAGACAACTTGAATTATCGCGTAGTAAACCTTATTTTGACCGTTGGGATATTTGAATAAATTCGCGGCGTCTCAGTTACCGTGGCAACAACTAACTGTTCGTGTCTCGTCGTCATATAGCCTTGAAGTTTGTCTTGAAACTTCAATTATTCCTTCTGCCCTTACTTAGTTTTCTATTGTTTGGTTGATCTCCGTAAATTGATGACTAAAGTCCTTTGTTAAACAATCTACATTCAAAGTATGTTATATTTCTCAAGCGCAATATTATTCCCTGCGAGTTATATTGAAGTACAATCGTCTACTACTTGACCTCAATTAACCTATACGAGACCTTTCATATCTAGACCTAATGCCGAGACATATTTGCCTTCTGGCTTTCTTCACTCATACTGGTATTGTTCCTTTTCATTGTCCTCAACTCGTGTAACTCATGGAACGTGGACACTTCAGACGAGGTCACTCCAGACGTGGTCACTCCAGACCTATATTCCGAATTTCCACAGGCAGACTGTTCCAGTCGTTGGCAGCATGGTAGCTGAATGCCTGCTTCCCCCAGTTCTTCTTGACGCGTTCCAAATGTATGTTCTGTTTGTTTCGAGTGTTGTAGCTGTGGATGTCAGAGGAGAACTTGAAATTAAATTTAAAATCGATGCCATTGTTTAGACACTTGTGCATGATTGGACAACGGTGAAAGTGTCTACGTGTTGTTAACGGCTGCAAATTTAACGATCGTAGGGATTCTGAGGCTGACGAGAGTGGATGAGCGTCAAGAATGATTTTAGCGGCTTTGTTGGGAAGAACTTGAAGGTGGTTCATCAGGACAAAGTTGTTTTTATCACCCCACACAAAATTAGCGTAGTCAAAGATCGGCATGACAAGTCCCTTACTAGAGTACGACGAGATTCAACTGTTAGGAGGTATTTAACTCTTCGTATGATACCAAGACGTTGATTAACTCTGGCAAAGAGTGCTTCAATCTGACCACGATAATGTCTGATTTAAGGTTATACCAAGATACTTGAATGATTCAACACGATGTGTGCTATTTGTGCTATTTGTGTGCTAGTGGGCTATTTTTTATTAATAAGAAGATTTATATTTTGTAGTTTGGCCAGTTAGGCCGTATTCCTTGCCCGCTTTTCGTTCAGTTTTGTTGCCCCCCTTCGGGCACTACTTTAAATTTACATGAATGTATAGATTTTTATACGCTGAGTACGAATTCACTTGTTGTCACTCGCACAAAGCTTCAGTTTTATTGTATTTTACGATCAAACACATTTTACGATTATTAAAATTTCCGCCATTTTGTCCAGGAAACTTCATGTTATATACAGTTATTGTACTAGTTCAAGTCTCTTAGCACGGCGGGGGGTCGGGGGGGGGGGGGTTGCATGCGGTATTACGTATTTTTTATCATCCTCCTGAGGAAAATATACAGAAATAAATAAAAATATACATATTTTTCCACAATATTAAAATGCGAAAGGTACTGTTACAAGTTTGTAAATAATCAGGAACTAATCAACTATTCTTTATTGCACCAACGTTTGGGTTTTTTGCCTCACCTTGATGTGAAATTGCAAAGACTGTCACTATATCCACAACTATGTCCTTGGTAAAGTTGTTTATTTTATTTAGCTATTGCTGAAATCATGTATATAATTTTAGCCTTACAATGAAAATAGGCAATTTTTCTTTGAAATTTTTGTTAACACTAACGAGCACAATATATTTGTTGTTTAATAAATGTTAGACCTATTTGTTGTTTAGTATAAAATTATGTTAAACCTATAGTCACCTAGATAATTTATTAACACAAATAGACCATTACCCATTAGTAGCAGTTGACCTCAATCAAATTAGCTCATCCATTTAATAAATCTGCACATAACGAGTTCCATTTTCTTGTATTATAATAAAATTTTTGCTATCATGACATTTAGGTTGATGAAAAAACTTTTGGAAGATGTCTTTCAATCTTAGACAGACTGACAGGGCCTGTTCATATGGGCAAAAGTTATCCCGGTTAACGAAAAAACTTTTCGACTACCCAAATACTTTTGTTCTGTTCATTTGGAGAAACTTTATCCCGCTTACCGGGTAAAGTTTTCGGCTGTGACGTGGCACTGAACATTAATTGCATTGAAAAGTTGCTGACACGACAGAAAGTTATCCCGCTAAGCGAGAAAGTTGTGTTCATATGGGAAAAACATTATCCCGGTCACCGAGATGTCGCCTGTGAACAAGCGAGATCTCGGTACACGGAAAAACTTTTTGTCTCACATGAACGCAGTGTAAATTTTCATATTATTTTCATACCAAAGCGAGATCTCGCTTGTAAACTTGTCGAAAAGTTTTCTCGCTAACCGGGATAACTTTTGCCCATATGAACAGGCTCTTAGTACTTTTGTTCTGTTCATATGGAGTTAACCGAGCCTAGATTAGCCATATTTTTTTAATCACTTTATTGTTATTAAAGTATTCACATTAGCAAATGGTGGTTATACAGGACATAGCCCCCAATTGATTACAGCTACAATGCAACAAGTTTGCTTGGTTTTTAAATTTGTGAGACTGTTGAGGCAAGCATATGGGCTTGCTGGAACAAAGGTACTAAGCAGTAAGCAAAAAACTGTATAAACACAAGCAAATCTCAAAGCCATGCCGCCTATAAATTGGTCGAGCCATTTGCAACATATTGTCATGATACATTATCACCTTAAGCTCCTATCTGCTCTAATCCTATTTGAGCTGCTACTCATTACCAACTGGAGTTCTAAGGGAAAATTTATTAATTTATATTTTGCCAGGCAGGCACTTAAAGTAATCTGGCACCGCTACCTACTAATATGCATTAGTTACATAAACCTTTTTTCCAGTTTGCCTAGCCAAGACCCTCCTTTTTCCCATGCCTTAGATCTTGGATAACAGCTGGGCATTAAAATAACATATCTTCATTTCCTTAGGGGGTACCAGAGCCAGCCGGATACCCGAGCTAGCTCGCTTTGCCCTGATCTAACGTCGCTATGTAATTTAAACTAATTATAATATTCATGGAACTGCATGGGCTGGCCTGTCTAGGCGAGATCTTGAAAAATAAAAATATATCGTATTATATACTATTTATAGCAGTGAGACCAGTGATTTGTTTTGGCAAGCCAGCTAGCCAACCTCGAATGTCTCTTGTAAACATGGGATGAAATCAACTTGTGCTGGCTCGCCTCCAAATAAACACCTCCTTAGGAAATTTCAAAGCTTAATAAAATTTCTTTTGAAATCTCTCTGAGGGATAAAATCTTCAAAACTTTAAATATTGACAAAAATTTTAGGTAGACAGTACCCAGGAAAATTGCCTATTCGCATTGCAAGGCTAAATTATGGACATAATTTCAGTATTAAATAAATAAAATAAACAACTAGCTTTACCAAGAACAAGTGAGTCTTTGTGGATGACACATCAAGGTGAGGAAAAAAACAACAAAAGTTGGTGCAATAAAGAAACAAACATGCATGTAGTATATTTTTACCCCTGTATATTTTCCTAACATTTATTAAACAACAAATATATTGTGCTCCTTAATCAGTGTTAACAAAAATTTTAAAAAAAAATTGCCTATTCACATTGTAAGGCTAGAATTATATACATAATTTCAGTAATAAATAAAATAAACAACTTTACCAAGGACATAGTTGTGGATATAGTGACAGTCTTTGCAATTTCACATCAAGGTGAGGAAAAAAACCCAAACGTTGGTGCAATAAAGAATAGTTGATTAGTTCCTGATTACTGTATTTACAAACTTGTAACCGTACCTTTCGCATTTTAATATTGTGGAAAAATATCTATATTTTTATTTATTTCTGTATATTTTCCTCAGAAGGATGATAAAAAATGCGTAATACCGCGTGCAACCCCCCCCTGCTAAGAGACTTGAACTAGTAGAATAACTGCATATAACATGAAGTTTCCTGAACAAAATGTTTTTTAAATTTTAATAAAAAATGTTGAAGTTTGATTGTAAAATACAAAAAACTGCAGCTTTGTGCGAGTGACAACAAGTGAATTCGTACACAGCATATAAAAATCTATAGATTCGTGTAAATTTAAAGTAGTTCCCGGGGCAACAACGTTTTCTAAGCGACTTTGAGGCTAGGGAGGGAATACAGCCTAAGTTTGGCATTACTTCCGAAAACCATAAATTTGCATTTAGAAGTGTTAAGAGTTAAACGGTTAGCACCAAACCAACGAGATAAGTTCTGTAGGTAAGAGTTTAGCTTTTGTTCCAATTCAATCGGGGTTTTAGCTTAGCAAAACAGGACGGTATCATCTGCATACAGGGAGATATCACGGTTATTAACAGTGGAGGGAATTTCATTCACATAAATGAGAAACAGTAAAAGACCCAGTATACTTCCTTGGGGTACTCCGACATGTACTGGTTAAGTGGGCGACTGTTCAAGGCCAATAGAAGTGACTTGAAAACGATTAGAGAGACAAGAAGAGAACCAGTTGATTGTTGTCCGTGAAAAACCAATAGTACTAGGTTTCTGTATGAGACGATCGTGACTAACCGTGTCGAAGGCCTTCGAAAGATCTAAGAAAACTGCATCGGCGATAGAACCTTTGTCTAAATTATACAGAATGTTGTCAGTGAAGTAGGTGAGAGCAATTGCCGTGGAGAGTTTTGGGCGGAATCCAAATTTTTTCAGGGTCAGGATATTTTCATGAAGTAGATAGCTATAGGTATAGGCTTGACTATGAACAGCTCTTTCAAGTATTTTGCTAGCAGTTGGTAGAATAGTGTACGAACTTCCGAGATAATTCTTGCTAATTTATAGGTTACAATGCACGCATGTGTAGTTGACATTAGTTGGTGCACGCGTAGTTGACATTAGTTGAATTTCGAAGTTCAATTCATGAAGCAATATCGCAAATAGATTTATGTTTGCAGGAATATAAAGTTAAACATAATGGTGGGCATGATCCAATTGGCTCTTGAGTTCAAGTTCTGTGGTTAACAGTTCATTTTCTGGTTCCAAGCAAAATGTTCGCCTACCAAGGCTGAATTTAAAACATTTTAAAGGAGATCCAATCAAATTTCAATCATTTTGGGATTCATTTGAAATCACAATTCATAATAATGAGAATCTATCGGATGTGAGTAAAATGAGTAATTTGATTAGTTTACTGGAGGGACCAGCTTATTCGGCTGTAGCTGGCCTTTCGCTTACAAGTGCAAATTATAAAAGTGCAGTAGATACATTGAAAGAACGATTCGGTTGTGAAGAAGTAGTTATATCGGCCCACATGGATGCCCCACTTAAATTGCCAGGAGCTAATACAAATTCAGATACAAAGAAATTAAGACGAATATATGATGAAGTACAACAACATGTACGTGGTTTGAAAGCAGTCGGAATTAGCAGTAAACAGTATGGAAAATTACTTGTTCCTATTTTGATGAATAAAATCCCTCAGGAATTGCAACTCAAAATAACACGGAAATTGGGAAAGGAAAAATGGGATTTAGAAGCATTACAGAATGCTTTGAAGGAGGAGCTGGAAGCTAGATAGATGTGCGAATTTGTGACAGCTTCAAAGACTGATGATAAAGCTGGGAAAGGTGGGGGTGGTCGAAGTTATCCAACTACGATAGAGGCATTACTAGCTCAAGGTCACTTTGAGAGAAAAGGGCGTGGCATAACATGTACATACTGTCGCGGTAGTCATCCTAGTGGTCAATGTCATGTGACAACTGGTGTGCGGGTCAGAAGAGAAGTTTTCAAGACCAAAGTTAAATGTTACAATTGTTTAAGGGCAGGACACATCAGTTATCAATGCCAGGCAACCACAAAATGTTATGTTTGTGGATACAGGCATCATCAGTCTATCTCCAAGGAGGGTCCATCCATCAAATTTCCCAAAGAAGACTGATTCTTCGCAGTCTCCACTAGGCCTCCCGGATTCAGCCAAATCCAATCCTACAGCAACTGTATTCTCAGATACAGAAGAGGGAATTTTATTCCAAACTGCCACAGCTCCTGTGTGTAATCCTAGAAGTCCTGAAAAGATCGTGAATGCACGAATTCTATTTGATAGTGGGTCTCAGAAAACTTATATTTCAAAGCGGTTAAAAGATGCCCTCGGTTTGTCTCCATTAAAATCGGACAGACTTATTATTAAAACATTCTGTACGGCGGGAGAAACGGCGAAAAACCTGTGAAGAAGTTCAAGTTAGTGTACAGGGAAATCGAGATTTGAATCTTTATCTGACAGCCCATTGTGTGCTAATTATATGTGCCCCTTTGCAAAATCAAAGAATTGAAGTAGCAGTGCGAGAATTTCCTCATCTAGAAGGTTTATAGTTAACTGATTCTGTCCATGATAAATCAGAATTAGAAGTTGATCTGTTAGTTGGGTCAGATTTCTATTTGCAGTTTATGACCGGAAGAGTCCAAAAGGGGGAGGCTGGGCTCACTGCAATAGAGTCGCACTTGGGGTGGATTTTGTCTGGTTCATCAAGCTCCACGAATACTCGCTCTGTATCAGCAAATTTTACACAGACATATGTCTTAAGAATTGCAGAAGCCCCTGATCTTGTTGTTGTTCCTCTGCGAGAGGATCTGTCAAAGTTCTGGTCGCTTGAGTCTATGGGTATACGACCGAACGATGAATATTCTGTACATAAACAATTTCTAGACAACATAGAAACTGATGGAGAGCGTTATCAAGTCAAGCTTCCCTTTAAGCAAACACACCCAATATTACCAGACAATTATCAGAACTCTGTGATGAGGTTGGGTTCACTTGTTAAACGACTGCGGGGTGAACCTGAGCTCCTTAGAGAGTATAATAACATTCTTAAAGAGCAAAGGAAAGCCAGTGTTATTGAAGATGCCCCAGAAGGACCCGTATCAGTAGGCGAAGATTGCTATATTCCCCACCACTGCGTTGTCAGACATGACAAGGACACCACAAAGGTACGTGTGGTGTATGATGCATCAGCAGAATCGAAGGGGTTTTCATTAAATAACTGTTTACATTCTTTGCCCTGTCTTGTAGCCACTCTATTTGATATTATGTTGAGATTTCGCTGTCATCTGTTTGCCTTGGTGGCAGACATAAAAAAGGCATTTCTACAAATTGAGATTGCACCTGAGCACAGAGACTTTCTTCGGTTCCTGTGGATAGATGATATTAGTAACGAACAGGCAAATATTATTGTCCAACGAATAACAAGAGTTACATTCGGAGTTACTGCCTCACCATTTCTGTTAGCAGCTACCTTGCAATATCACATTGCAAAGTACTACTCTATTGAACCCAAAATTGTAGACAACCTGCTTCGATCGTTGACCTCGCCTCGGGTGAAGATTCGTATCAGAAAACATATGAACTGTACGAAAGGGCAAAATCTATTCTACAAGAAGGGGGATTTATCTTACGTAAATGGGCGTCAAATAATTCAGACTTGCGTAGCAAAATTAGTAAAAATGTCGGCAAGGATAATACAAATTCGAGCACAAACAAAGATGAATCCACCTACGCCAAAGCAACACTCGGTTCATCATCCAAGACTACTGTTAAAGGAACTGAACAAAAGGTGTTAGGGTTGCTGTAGAACCCTGACATTGATGTATTTATAATAAGATTCCAAGATTTAGTCAATGCTGCAGAATCGCTTCCTGCAACCGAGCGAAGTATTCTGAAGATCGTTGCGAGTGTATATGATCCAATGGGATTTATATCGCCTGTTATACTTCCTATGAAGATGCTCTTTCAACAGCTGTGTATTGAAAAGGGCGATTGGGATGCCCCATTGACATCACAATGTGAACGAAAGTGGCAGGGCTGGATAACCGAGTTAAGAAAGATTCCTGAGATCAAGATCGATAGATGCTGCATAGAGGAGAACATTTGTAAGGTAAAATTACACGGTTTTTCGGATGTCAGTAAGGGAGCATTTGCCGCTGTTACTTACTTAAGAATCGAATCTAAAGAATCGGTAAAGTTAACCTTAATCGCCGCCAAGACAAGAGTAGCACCGTTGAAACAATAAAGTTTACCGAGATTAGAGCTTCTTGGAGCATTATGTCTTGCAAGACTTGCATCAGCTGTTCGGAAAGCCATTGAGCCTATCATCCCTATTAGTGCGATCTACTATTGGACTGATTGATTTACCACATTATATTGGATACAGGGAACTAGCAAAGAGTTTAAGCTATTCGTGGAGAACAGAGTATCGGAAATCAGAGAATTGAGTGACGTACAGGGCTGGCGATATGTACCTGGGTAATCCAATCCTGCAGATCTACCATCTCGAGGTGTTCGGTTGGAAGATTTAGCTGATAATAGTTTATGGTGGAATGGTTCAACTTGGCTTCACGAATCTGAAGAACATTGGCCTCAATTCAAGAATACAGAGCCTGACGAGGCAGCGGAGAAGGAAATGAAGTTGGGCGAAAGATCGTTAACGAAGTCTGACGGTTCTACACACGTGTCAATAACTCAGGTTCAAAACAGGCGTATAAATCTAGAACTATTAATCGATCCAAAAAAGATAAAGTTCGTCATTGAAATTATATCGGGATACAGCTCTGGTATTAAGATTTGTGAAAATACTCAAACACGATTGCAAGGCGGCAGATAGTCGACAGCGGAATCGTGTCACAACTGACGAGATAAAAGAGGCGGTAGTGCTATGGTTTCAAACCGTTCAGAGAACCATTATCGATGGTAGGAAACTCTCACATGTTCAAAGGTGTCTAGGACTTTACAGCGACGATTCAAAGCTTCTTTGTTGTAAAGGAAGAGTATCTAAAGCGGACATACCGACAGAAACGAAGAATCAGATTATTCTACCGAACTACCATCACTTAACTTCGATTATCATTCGTGAGTGTCATGAACGAGTGCTTCATAATGGGGTGCAAGACGACACTTTATGCTGTTTAAGAGAACGATTCTGGATTGTCAAAGGTAGACAAACAGTTAAACGTGTGATTGGAAAATGCGTAACTTGTCCTAAATTCGAAGGAAAGGCTTATACACCGCCACCTCAAGCACACCTTCCAAAATTCCGTGTTACTCAAGATTTTTCATTTTGGAAAACGTTGGGGGTAGATTTCGCGGATCAATATACATAAAATCGGTTGCTAAAGGACAAACCGAAATGACCAAAGCTAATATTGCACTTTATACATGTGCAAGTACTCGAGCAGTCAATCTGGAATTGGTTCCCAACCTGACAGCTGATGCGTTTATTCGATCATTTAGGAGATTCATTAGTCGAAGAGGTATTCCAAAAGTGATATTGTCGGACAACGGTAAAACATTTAAGTCCTCAAGCAATAAATTGTCAGCATTACTCGATTTACCGGAAGTCCAACAATTGTTACAGTGCAGACGAGTTGAATGGAAATTCATAGTTGAAGAGGCCCCTTGGTGGTGTGGGTTCTGGGAGCGAATGGTCAAGTCGTCAAAGCGGTGTTTAGAGAAAACATTAAAGAATGCGAGATTAAGTTACGATGAACTTAATACAGTCCTTACGTAAGTGGAAAGTGTACTAAACTCAAGATCTCTGACGTATGTTGAATCTGGGGAAATGGAAGAAGCTTTAACACCTTCTCATTTATTAATGGGAAGAAGTTCAATTTTGATGTCAAATTCTAAGTGTGAAAGAGAAACGGTAGACCTATCTGGAACGGATTTAACAAAAAGAGTGAAGTATCTATCTAAGTTAACTTACAGATTCTGGAAGAAATGGCATAAGGAATATCTTCTGAGTCTTCGGGAACAACATCGTGGCTCGTTGAGTGTGACGAAAGAAACATCTTTCAACATTGGTGTTGTAGTTTGTGTGCATGACGAGAACAGATCTCGAGGAAAGTGGCGTTTGGCAAGAGTTCATGAGCTAATACGTAGTGCAGATGGGAAAATACGCGCTGCTGTTATTAGAATTGAAGGGGACAGCAAGAAACCAACGTATATACGGCGTCCCGTTCAGAAACTGTTTTCATTGAAGCTTAGGAACGAACATACCCAAAAAGATGAAAAGGAGGATGGTAGACCAAGAAGAAAGTCAGCAATTGTCTGAGAAATTAAGAGACGTTGTGTTGACAAATAAGTTGTCAGGATGTGAGTGTACGAACTTCCGAGATAATTTTTGCTAATTTATAGGTTAAAATGGCCGCATGCGCAGTTGACATTAGTTGGCGCACGCATAGTTAGTAGTAGTAGTAGTAGTAGTAGTAGTAGTAGTAGTAGTAGTAGTAGTAGTAGTAGTAGTAGTAGTAGAACTTTATTTATCCACGCTAACCCCGTCAACCGTAGCTGATTTCCACGGGGGGCGTGTGCCAGAAAATTATTCTACATGCAGAATATGATAAGGATAAGCTAAGCTATTACAGTAATATATAAATTTAAAAGATATAACAAATGTTTTGAGCTATTTACAGGTAAGTTATATTTACAAAGGTTACCAAGCACTAATGTGAGCAGCGATTTTATTTCGAAAGGAAGAAAGTGACTTCCTTTCCCTAATTTCTTTTGGTATAGAATTCCAAATGTTTGCTCCGTCGTACATAAAACTATTTTTCATGCTATTTGTACGTGGTTTTGGTAAATAAAGACCACTTGAGACATCCCGAAGGTGGTAATTAGTTTTCTCACTCTTAAACGAAAATAGATTTGTGAGTGATTTTGGGCCCATTTTGTTTAATAACTTATACATCATTCTTGCTTTAGTTTTCTTCCTTTCAGTTTGGAGTGGCTCCCAGCCCAAAGTACGTAACGCAATCGTATAATCTACGTCATTGCTTTTATTCAGAATAATTCTTGCCGCTCTATTTTGCAGTTTTTGCAGTCGTTTTGATTGAGTTTCGCCAAATACATCCCATACTTCACAGCAGTAGTCAAAGTACGGACGAACAATAGTGTTATATATCAAAATAAGTGTATCTTGATCAACAAATGGTTTGATCCGACGAATAGTAGAGATTCTTGCTGTAACTTTTTTGCAAATATTTTCGGTATTACTTTTCCAAGATAAATGCTGGTCAATTGTTACTCCTAGAGTTTTGCATTCATGAACTTGTTTAATTTGTATATTTTCAATGTAAACATTTGGGCAAGAATCAGAAATATTTTTGATCATAGGTTTAGAGCCAAACAACATAAACTCTGTCTTAGCTACATTCAGGCTAAGTTTATTGGTTATTAACCATTTTCTAAGGTTCTCTAAATCAGAATTTACTGCAGTCTCTAGGTCAGTCATAGAATTTGCTGAAGCAGTCAAATTTGTGTCATCAGCAAACAACCGCGGTTTTGTTTTGTTTAGACAATGTGGCAAATCATTGATGTACAACAAAAAGAATAATGGCCCTAATATAGAGCCTTGTGGTACACCACATTTAATTAAGCGCTCAGATGAAAATGAGTTTTTTATTTGGCACTTCTGGTTTCTGTTTGTGAGATAAGATTTGAGCAAAGTTAGAGCTTGTCCTTTTATTCCATAGAGCTCTAATTTGTTCAGCAGAATTTGATGATCAACAGTATCAAAGGCTTTCTTCAAATCAATTAAAACTACTGGGTTAAACATTTTTCTGTGTAGATTTACATACCAATCATTAGTACAGTCTAGTAGTGCACTAGCTGTAGAGTGAAATTTTCGAAATCCAAATTGGGAATCACTGAGAAGCTCAAATTTTGTTAAATAGTTATACAGTTGATCATACAATATCCGTTCCATAATTTTACTAATGGCCGGTAAAACTGATATTGGTCTGTAGTTTCCAGGAATACTACGCTGGCCATTTTTATATATGGGCATCACTCTAGCAACCTTCCATTCATCAGGAAAAGAAGATAAAGTAATAGCCTGATTGAAAATAAGTGTCAGTGAATCTGAGATAACAGGTGCAGCTAATTTAATAATTTTGGAAGAGATTTTATCGATGCCAGTGGCTTTATTGTTGGAAAGTTCATGCAAAAGATGAGAGACATGACTGACAGTAACAGGTTGGAAAGCCGCAAATTCTGATTGAGCATTTTTGACATAGGTTTCAAAATTGGAATTTGAATAATCTATTTTTCTAGCTAGATCTGGGCCAATATTTGAAAAATATTCATTAAAGCCCTCCGCAATATCTTCAGGACTTGTCAAATTTTGTTCACCTAGATTTAGTTCATTTACCACTGTTGGTTTGTTTTGCCTACCTAACAAGTTGTTTATACTTTTCCAAGCTTTCTTGGGATTAATTTTTTGACCAGCTATTTTCGAAGAATAATAATCTTTTTGGCACTTCTTAGTTCAATATTTACTTTGTTTCTAGCTGTTTTAAAGTTTAACCAATCATTCTCATGGTTTGTCAAAATGGCTTTTCGTTTAACCTTGTCCCTTGTATTCATAAGTTTCTTTATATCACTTGTAATCCAAGGGACTTTTTTCGATCTTATCTTCTTTTGCTGAAGTGGTGCATGTTTATCTAGGACTTTAAGAAATAAATTTTTCCAAATTTCCCACATGGCATTTGGATCATCAGCAAAGAAATACACATATTCCCAGTGTTGTTTTAGCAGTTCTTCAATAAATTTTCCTTCATCAAAATTTTTCATGTTTCTAATTTCAAGAGTATTTTCTTGTTTTGTAACAATAGAAATTTTCCTGATTGCAAATACTAAGCTATGATCACTAATACCTGTGTGAATGCAGAGCCTGAAATAATTTTAAAATTTGTCCGGAAAAACTTCCGATCAAAACGAAATTTGACCGGAAATTTGCAAAATTGACCGGAATTTTTTTTAGTTTAGTTTGACCAAGTCCACCCCCCCCCCAAATGAGCAAACTCTGTCAAGCATGCAGATGTGCACTGAGTAAATCACTCTACTTGCAATAATAAAACACAAATGTTTAATTCTGAATTGCTTATTGGAATAGTTATAGTGAATAATAATTTAATCATGCCCGCCGACGCTGTTTTTATCTTGACCCAACAACCTGGAAGATATTAAAAACAATACGTTTCCTTAATATTTTGGCTCAGGACCTTCGTCAGGAATAGGCTGAACAAATAGGCTTATTTGACACTCCTGCAGAGGAGTGTCAAATAAGCCTATTTGTTCAGCCTATTCAATTGTTGTGATGAAAGGCTTTTGCTCGAAACGTCGAGGAACTGAACCATATTTGTTATCTTCCAGGTCGTCAAATTGAACGAAAGCTGAGCAGTCGCACTCGCACTGACTCGTAATTAATTGTCACGCACGTTTTACTTAAATAAACAAAACTTTAATGATGCACTGTGTCTGTGAAGTGTACCAACCAACTTTAACTCAAAACTGACTGAAAAACCCAAAGGAAATTTGACAATGGAAGTGAATATCAGTTCAACGTAAAACAATGACCATTATTTAAGATGTAGTTGGTAAAACATGGCAACTACTTATTATAAACTGTCTCTGGCTGCTTCTCACAATTGTTTGTTAGTGTTGGACTAGGGTTCAGTTACTGTAGTCTTTACAGCTCTTCATCGCTATCATCTGATTCTCTCATCCAGTGATCCCAGTCATCCAACAAACTCTTACTCTGCTCTTCACCGCTATCGCTATCAGTAGTGGTACTATCAACATTATTACTGCCAGTACTGGTGGTAGATGCTGATGTTGATGCCGGCTTTCGATTTACATTTGAATTTCTACGCACGTATTGCTTTCGTACACTTTGGTTGGGTCTTCTATGCTTTGTATGCCACCAAAGTCGTACAGCACGGTCGGGTGAGAAGTCGTCAAGCTTTCTCTTTCCAGTACAAAGTGTAAGAAGATCATCTAGGCTGTTGCTACTAAGGGAAGCCCGCTTCTTGGTCTTGATACAATTCAGTTGTGAAAATACTCTTTCAACTGTGCCATTTGACGCTGGTAGGGAAAAGAGAAGACTGGCAAGGATCAGTATGTTGGACCACTCAGATTTGTCAGGTGCATGGAACATGCGCCACCAGACACTCTGGTAGTCTAAAGTGGAAAGGGAGATAAACTGGACAGCATATGCCATCATAGCTTCAAACTCTACGCGAACCTGGTCGACTTCAGCACCTGCTCCTTCCAATGGAACCTTGTATGCTTCTACAAGCCTGTCTATGGCATTCAGAGGATCTTCACGGTCTGTGTCATCAATTTCCTCTTGGTCTCCATGAGCATCCAGCTTATCCATTACTTTCTCCCACCCAACAGTTGCCAACACAAGGATGATATCTCGCAGATGCTGCAAGTCTGACCACGATAACCTGGACTTGATGCAAGTTGTCACAGCATTGCAATAAGATCTGGAATTCTGGAGCAAGAACGTCTTGGCTCCTTCCACATTCGTGAGAATCTGTGTCTAGAAATAAGAAAAATACGCAAGGCAATTAGAGCAAACTATTACATTATAACATTATTCAATCATATAAAGTAAATAATATAAAATTTTATAATATAATTCAAATTTATAAATTTGAAGACATGAATGTTTTACCTGGTACTCTGACTGGCCTTTCTCGTCTTGTTGTACCTTCTTTAGTGTATCAGAATAGGTTTTCCATTGCTCCAGGGGCTTGGAAGTGAGCTTGTTTGTTTCATTCAGGGTCTTGATAATATGGCTGATAGCTGCCAGAATGTCCAGGTCATTACTTTGCATTGACTTGGAGAATGTGGCACATGGGGTTAGCAGATCAACAAATGCTGCACACCCAAGGATGTACTTGGCATTTACCCACTTCTTGAGGTATCCCTTTAGCTTGGCACGGTCAGCTGCTTTCACAGATTTATCTTCTGAAAGGGATGTAAGATGAGCTATATATGCACCATACTTTGACAATACTCTCTTCATTGCTTTTACCTTGTGGCTCACCCATCGTGTTCCACTTGCTCTCACTGGCCTTATTCCATCTTCATCAAATTCTAAGCATTCTTTTAGGTCAGCACAGAGGGATTCAAGTTCTATACACTTCTTTGGTGATTTCTCATACACATAGTAAAGGCGCAAAAGCATTTCGTCAATGCTGTCAAAGAAGGTTCCCCTGAGCGCGTCTTTAATTGCCAGTTCAAGCCGGTGTGCCAAGCACCACATCCAAAAAATCCATGGTAGCTTCTGTTCTACCAATCCCTTCAATCCTCGAGCTGCTACATTGCTGGAAGCACCATCTGTGCCTATGCCTACCAACTTTCTGTTGCTATTTGTGTTGGTTACACGAGAGACCACTCCTGGATCAATTGCTTCATCATCAACATTGTCACCATCCAGTGATTCAACTTCAATATCTAATATATATATTCAAATATCCAATTTTGGTACAAACCTTTTCATTTTCACCTTCCGGATCAAACCATACAACAAGAGTAGCCTCATTGTCTGCGTTGCTCTTGTCTGTTGAGCCATCAATTAACAGAGAGAAGAACTTTGCTTGTGCTACTGCAGATATCAAGTCCTCATTCTCAATATCAGCAATACAGTGAACAAACTCTTTGCAGGCGTTAGCATTCAGGTAAGACTGGCCTATATCTACACCATGTCGTATCTCTAGAGCACAGATACTGGGGTACTTTGAGAAAGCCATTTGCTCTGTTGCCACGAGATATGCCACGTCAAATTTTATCTTCATTCTCTCCTGCTCTTCATTTGAAAGGTTTTCCAGAGCTTGTATAATCGGGGCTTCTCTAGGAACAAGGGACTTTCCTTCAGATCGGGCGAATTCTTTATTTTGCACATTCATGGCATGGACATGCTGGTCTGACATAGCATGCTCTCTAACACTTGATGTTTTAACACTGCTAGCTCCTACTACCCATTTATCGCTAAAATTTCTGCAGCCTGTTATTCGCTTCCTGTATTTCTTACAAATTTTACACTTCAACTGTGTAACAACATTTATGCCTTTTTCCTTCTCGGTTGAGTAGTCCAACCATGAAAACGTTTGAAACTCTTTATCAAACCGCGTGACCCAATTTTTAACAGTCTCAGGTTTCACCCTACTTTTCTTTGAACATGGTGTCCCTTCATTTGTGTCGTTGACACGGTTCGACATCATAGCATGTAGTATTTTCTTGGCAGTTGCCAATAATAATAAAGGATAACGACCACTTTTAGTAGTTCTGCAGCTTAAACACAAAAAATGAAGGGATCAATTTCAAACAACTTAGACAAAGTACAAGGATGGAATTGCCAGAATATCTCACTTTTTAGCATATTAATTTTTAAAACACTGTCTTTGAAAAACGAAGGAGTTTAATAATTCAATTGTGAATTATTTCGGGCAATGGTTAATGCATGATATGTGTAAGGTAATTGTAACTGTAGCGAAAAGTTTCAAAATGGTCGTGAGCCGACGGGTGTTTTAAATTGATTGACGGGTGATTTAAATTGCAAATTAATTAAGACTCACCTCACATTTCACGACAACACCGCCGCCATCTTGTTTATTGAGCCCGTGAACTATACTTTGAAGTTTCCAGTTGATTACTTTATATTAGCCTAATATAGATAATCCAAACTTACAGATGTTACTCACTGTGCTGAGCGCCGACCCGATCATTAATAAGAAAACATTTTTCTTTTTCTCAAAATTTGGCCGGACAAAATTTCCGATCATTTCAGCATTTGGTCGGAAAAATTGGAATTTGGTCGGAAAACCGCCGGCCGTTATTTCAGGCTCTGTGAATGACACCAGAATCAGAGATTTTCTCTGGCATATTAGTAACAATATGATCAATAAGACTGGTGGTTGTTGGAGTTATTCAAGTAGCTTCATCTATCAGTTGTGTTAATTGGTATAATTCATATAGTGATTTTATTTTCTTTGTTGGAATATTTGAATCGTTATTTGTTTTTAGCATATTACAGTTCAGATCACCCAGGATATACATTTCTTTATTTTCATTATCAACAGCTTGGATCAATTTTTCAAAATGATAAAAAATTCTGATAATGCACTGGGTGGTCTATAGACTGTGGTAACAAGAAATGGTTTGCTATGCGGCTTAATAATTTCAACACAGACAGCTTCGAGTTCAGTGGGAACTAGATCATTTCCTACTTTGTAATTTATGGAGCTACGCAAGTAAATACAAACCCCACCACCGTTTCTTGATCTGTCTTTTCTGACAATATCATAGCCATCTAGATTAATCATGTTATCGGTTATATTTGCATCAAGTCGTGTTTCATTAAATGCAATCAGATCAATGAATTTTTTGGTCATTGAAAAATTAATTTCATCTATATTTTTTGGTAGACTCACTATATTCAGAAAAGCCATTTTGAAACCTCTTTCATTTGGGATTGAGCCGAGAGTTTTTAAAAAATCGCCGCTCACATTGTTGCTTGACATATCGTCTACTCTACCTTGTGTTTCATCATGCGTTTCACATGATTGAGATACATTGTCCACTCTTTCAGGCGGCCAGAGGGTGGACGAAAAAAATGGTTGTTGGAGTTTCTAGAGCTAATTCTGTCTGACTTTAAGTAGGTGCAGAATGAACTTCCCAAAGCTTTATCACCGTCCCGATTTAAGTGTAGGTTTGATCTATTTAGCAATGATTTTCCTATGCAGCTATTGTTGATAAATGTAATTTTATGTTTGGAGCAAAGATCATTAACTAATTTATTATATTGATCAATTTTATGATTGTTTACCTTGCCATCATAACGCTTGATAGCACCAGATACTGCTAATTTGTTGCTGTGGGCCTTTGCTTTGTTGATGAGATTTTCCATGTCTGCAGCAACCTTCTTTGGTTCTTCACGCACCAAGTCACTTGTTCCAACATGAAGGATAATGGTGTTGTACTGCTCTTTCTCTGTATGGTTCTCGCAAGCTGGTTCACAGTGGCACCATTGTAGGAATGTGAAATTGCTTTGCCACGTGCAGCTCTTCCAATCTTGTTACCGTCAATATGCTTTACCATAGGGTCCCCTATCACCAAAACTGCTTTATCCTGGCTCTGCTTCGACAGCTTCGTGGAGGATTTCTTCATGGTAACCACATTTTTGCCGGGGTCCTCTCTCAATTCCCTGTCTTCAGGTTTTGGACGCTTTCTACAACGAGTTGAGTCCTTAGATGATCCCCTTGGGTGGTTGGCTTCTTTGGAATTTTGCAGAACTTGGTCATTGTCAGAACTTGGTTCTTCCACATCAAGCACTTGAAATACATTAGGTGTGAGTGGAATTTTTTCTTTGTTGATAGCAGGTTTTGATGATTTCTTGGCCTTTTGGTCCGTCTTGGTCCACTCGTTTTGTTTTATATCAAGAACACACTTGATATTGGCATTATCACCGCTCAATTCACTCACACGTAAATTCAACTGTTCGATTTCGTCCGCCATTTTGTTATTTTGTTCTGACAATGTATTTATGGTAATTTCTAAATTTGTTGATTTGAATACTGCCCGCTGCGATTCATCTTCTTGTTTAGCTTTAATTTCATTAATCAGAGTCATAATGTTGGCAATTTGATGTTTATAAATTCACAATTTCCGCACATCGAGTGATTTTCATCGACATCTGGCTTCGGATCGTGTTGTTTGTTGACGACGTCGACCATGTGCTTTGTCGTTTTTATGTTATCATCTTGACTCGTTACGCCATTTGCTTGCGCACTTGCCTCTAGAACGCTTTGCAGAGACTTTTCCTCGTTGTCTTTCATAATCTGCAGTTTTTCTTTCTTCGTGCCGTGCCATTTTAAGCTGAAATCTTTGCTTTTGAATAATTTTTCCTCTCCGCGAGGCGAATACCACTTCCCGTCGTCGCATTTCAAAATCGCCGCTACGAACGTTTTTAGCGAGTTTAGATCGCCTTTCCATGTAAAATTATTTACATTGTAGAATGGAAAAGAAGATTTTTCTATTTTGCTTTCAGATTCGCTGGTTTTGTTGTCGGAATTTGCAACAGATGATTTAGAATTTGCAACCCTAAACAGGCGAAAGTGTTAATAAAGAATACTTTCTGTAAACATGGGCATACAGTTACTTGCGAAAAGTTTGAATACAAGTCCAAAAATTTAAATATTTTGCAAAATTCCGTTACCGACTTACACAATAAGTTGTTACATGTCCAACTTTGAAGTTAGTTTAATAACTGGTTAGCATGATTTCATTTATGTACTATTTAAAAACATGCATGGGCAGCAGTGTTTTATCAGATATAGAGATACGAGGTCTGAGTATCTTTAGGTCTGATAAAACACGGACTGCGAATGTTTTAAATTGCTTCAAAAACGATCGATCTAGTAAGTTCATTGGCGAAGTAATTTTAAAAAATACGTTTTGTAAGTCGAGAAAATCAAAGTTAAAGTTTATGTAAATCAAGGGAAATCTCTGTCACATATAAAGATACGACATGCTTATGATTTTTCTTTGTGTTTTCCTCATGAATTATTAATGAGTTTTTGAAATTATTTTAATTAAAGACAATGTATCGGATAATATTATAAGAATATATTGGGGTTAACGTTACTGTCAATACGTAGTCGCAAATCCCTGTGCCGCAGTTTAACATAGCTGAAATGAAATCATGCTAACCAGTTATTAAACTGAATGCATATTTGAATATGTAAAATCTGTAATGGAATTTTGCAAAATATTGACATTTTTAAGCTTGTTTTCAAACTTTTGGCAAGTATATAACTTTACATTTCAGGTTTTAGAATGCCTTTCTCTTCTTTCGCCCAATCTCGATACGTCTTACAAGCCAAAAGAATTAAGAGTTTCAGTGCCACCACTAGTCGTCTGGAGGAAAAACGCACTGTCGGTAAGATAAAACTGTACTTTGACAGGGGAATAGGGGGGGGGGAGCTTTGGTCATAGCCGTGAGCTCTACATATATCTGGATCAAAAACTTCAGTCATTCAGTCTATGATAAAAGTTAAACCAAGATGGCTGGAATTGACGTCCAATAGCTACGAATGTTGTAAACAGTTTTAATACCATTTTCCCCCAGCTAATTTCAGTTTTTCCTGCCGTAATTTCTAATCAAGTTATCAGTTCACAAAACCATTGAATTATTCTTAACGCAATGCTAACGCGCACTTTATAACCACAAACTGTGGGTATGAGGTATGTCGAACACAGGTGTTCTTTATAACCATGAGCAACCGTGGTTATAAGGTATGCCGAAAACAAACGTACTTTATAGCTACAAACCGTGGCTATAATTTATGCCGAAAACAGGGGTACTTTATACTTTATAGCCACAAACCGTTGCTATAAGGTATGCCCAAAAAAGCCGTACTTTATAGCTACAAACCGTGGACAGTCAATCTCGTGAACCGTCAATCTCGGCGCAAGACAATCTGTAGATTCAAAACACTTTTGTAAATAATAAGTAAATTATACATGGCATTACAGTACGAGAAGGCAATATTTCCTTCAAGATGTAAGAAGATTTCCTGCGAAGATATTCTGTTATAAAAGTTTCTTGACAGAGCTGCTGGTGGCTTGGCAGGACATTGGGTACATAATTTGACACCGGTTACCGTCCCTTAGGCGTCGGGACCTCCATTAAACATCCCCACACACATTTGAACAATTTCGGCCTCCATTTTACGAACTCAAAGAAAGGATTGCGCGGCGTGTAACAATACTAAACCTTACCCTCACCCCACACCTAACCCTAACCCCCACACTAACGCTAATACTAACGCAAACTCTTATTTCAATTTTGGAACCATCTCGTAAACTACTTCTCGTCCATCCCTTTTAGACATTAGAGAAGTTAAGATTGACGTTTACGGCAAACCGGTAACCGCTAACTTCAAGTCGTATTTTGAGATCAACTGTAAGATGTTGAAAGTTAGGACAATTGTGCATTAAAATTGAAGAATGAATTGACTAAAAACCTTCGGAAACTTGGAGAACCTATACCTTCAAATGCGAATTTAAATTTCCCGTTTGCGGTTACCGGTCTGACGTCAATCTTGCTGTAATCTCTCAATTACCATCCAGCCTGGGTGGGACGATATTATGTAAACATGGCGTTTTTGAAATCTTTTTTTTTTGTTGTAATTAAACAAACTGCAGCTTGTATTATGACTTT